TAGTGGGTGCGTGTCCCCAGGTCCCGCAGGTGAGCGGTGGGGTAGGGACCCAGCGCCCTGGCCTCCCGCCCCTACCCTGGGAAGATTGCTCACCTGCATGAGCTCTGCTGCTGGCTGCTGGGCCTTGCCCTCCAGTTCAGAGATGAGCAGCGCTAGCCGGGCCAGCTCCGAGACACCCTTGGTCTTGTACTTCTCTCTACCCTCCGTGAGCTCCTGCTCCAGTTTCGCCAGTTGGTCCAGCAAGTGCCGCTCCCGCTCCCTCAGGAACTGGTGGCTCTGCTCAAACTCAGCCACTATGTCCTGCCTCTGGTCCTGGAGCTTCTTCTGCGGGCACAAGAAGGGCAGAAGGGCATGACTCCTCTGCTGTGGGTGGAGAATCCCCGCAGGCTCTGCTCCCGCCCCCATCCAGGGACCCCCCCCAGCTTACGTGTGACGTACAAAATATGTCCCCGAGCTCTGCCTCATTGGACTGTATCCTATTCCCTCAGTGAAACCATGGAATATCTGTGTTCAGGGACCATGTCCTTTCCTGCCTCCACATCTCCCTGCTTAGTGCAGGCTGGAGTCTGGCCAGAGTTAGAACCCCTGTTGACTGATGTCCATGCACAGTGAGGGCACAGGGGCTCCTTGGACTTGGGCCAGCTCCTGCCTCACCCTTCTCCCCCAGGGTCTCATCATTCGCTGTGGGGCCTCCATATCCCTGCAGCACACAGCTCCCTGACACTGACGCTCCCCCAGGAACCTGGAACATGTCCTCCTGACCCGTTCCTAATCATGCACGTGCTGTGCTGCTTCTGCATTCTGACTGTGGGTGGCGGTCCTGGGACAGGACTCAGCATCCACAGTGTTCTCAGAGCCGCTCAGGCCGTCCCTGGCCTCCTCCCTCTTCCCAAACCCTCCGGCTCCCCTCCACCGTCAGAATCTCATCTCCCTCCCCCTCTGACAGGAAGGACTCAGCCAGGACCTCGTTGGTCCCTTACACTCTGGCCATCCCTAGCACAACAGCGGCAGCTGCCAGACGGGACCCACAACTATGGTGAGTCACACAGAAGGAACCTTAGCTGACACAGGGCCACCATTCCTGCAGCAGATGAGGACGCCAGCCCAAAGCCACCCTCCCGGCACAGCCTCCACTGCTCACCCTCCCCTGCTCACCCTCCCCTGCTTAGCCTCTGAACAGGGCCTCCCCTGCTCAGCCTTCCCAGCACAGCCTCCTCTGCTCAGCCTCTCCTGTTTGGCCTCCACTGCTCAGCCTCCCAGGCAGGGTCTCCACTACTCAGCCTCCCAGCACAGCCTCTCCTGCTTGGCTTCCACTGCTCAGCTTCCCCTGCGCAGCCTCTCAGCAGAGCCTCTCCTGCTTGGCCTCTACTGCTCAGCCTCCCCTGCTCAGCCTCCCAGCAGAGCCTCTCCTGCTTGGCCTCTACTGCTCAGCCTCCCCTGCTCAGCCTCCCGGCAGAGACTTCCCTGCTCAGCCTCCCGGCACAGCCTCCCCTGGTCAGCCTCCCGGCAGGGCCTCCCCTGCTCAGCCTCCCGGCACGGCCTCCCCTGCACAGCCTCCCAGCTCCCCCTCCGCACAGCCAGCTGCCACAGGCTTTGTGCTGACAGCCTCACTTACCAGGGCGGTGAGGATGTCGGCTTCTCCCTTTGCCTGAAAGCCCTGAATCTTGTCTCTGTCTCTCCTGAGGGTGCTCAGGTGGTTCAGGATCTTCTCCTGTGGGGAGACGGGCGGTGGGGACAGGTGGGTGCTCCGGGTTGGGGAGGGAGGTGGGGCCGCGGGGCGTGTGGGGGGAGGGGCGTGGAGGGCTCACCCTGTGGGGCTGGGCAGCCTTCTCCACGAGGACGGCCGAGTGGGGCCGGTGCTCCCGAGACTCGCGGCACATGACGCACAGAAGCTTGCCGTCGTCCTGGCAGTAATAGTGCAGCTTCTCGCGGTGCCGCTCGCACAGCCTGCCGTCCGCCTGCTCCCGGGCCCCCTCTCCGGGCTGCCTGTCCTTGTCCACCTGCAGCCGCTCGATGTTCTCCACCAGGCTGGCCAGCTGCCACACGGGCCGGATACTCTCCTTCCTGAAGGGCTTCTTGCAGAGTGGGCAGACGGGCCGGCCGCCCGGGGCCGGGCGCACGTCGCTGGTGCAGACGCGGCAGAACACGTGGCCGCAGTCGATGGTCACGGGGTCCCGCAGGTAGTCCAGGCAGATGGAGCAGGTCACCTCCTCCTCCAGGCTGCGCAGTGGGGCCGACGTGGCCATGGCGTCCTCGGCTCACGGGGGCTTCTTTGCCTTGGGGACCAGACACGGTGTCAAGAGCGGGCGGGGCTGGGGCGCACAGTGGCGGCCCACACTGCCGGGGACAGTCAGCAGAGGCTTACCAGAGCCCACAGCATGCAGGCGAGAGGACCTCACCCACCCTCCAGGCCAGCCCCACATCGTGCACATGAGGAAAGGGAGGCCCAGGGAGGGCACTCTGGTGGGCTGGGGAGCACAGCACCAGCAGCCCAGGCCATGCTGCCGGGGCAGCGCTCCGGCCTAAGACCCTCTCCATCCCTTAGTGTTGGGAAAGTGCTCTGACATACCGAGTGCGACAGAGTAAGACGCGTGTTAACTATGTGGTGGAAGTGTGTTGTAACACACAGAGGCCTGTGGTGTCTCCTGTGTGCACGGTGCTCCCTCAGCTGTGCACCGGCTGCACAACCATTCCCGGGGGTGCTCATGCAGGACACTGATGTGGGAGGAGTCCCCGGGTGGCTGGAGAGGACACTGGTCCTGTCTACCCATATGGCCAGGCCCACCTCCTGTCTGGGGAAGGAGCCTCAGCATAGCTGATGAACGGTGGCCCCCTGCCCCTGATTCTGTGTGACAACAGAGACGCCTCTCAAGTACTCTGAGCCTCGGTCTGTTCATCCATAAAATGGGGACACTGATGCTTACCTAGAAGTTTCTACATGGGCGGAGACAAAGGATTACTGAGGGCACAGGACACAGAGGCGGGCACAGAAGTCAGAACCCTTGGTTCCCAAACATGGTGACAGTTCGAAGCACGAACAGAGCAGGAGAGGAGGTGAGGACGCAGCAACCACAGTGGCACGTGCTTCAATTACAGTCCCCGAGGAGCAGGGACCAGGACAGGCTGGGGAAGACAGCCGGCCCACAGGGCACATGGGTCATCGCAAGGCTGGAGCAGGCACCTGCAGACACAGGTAAGTCACTACCACTAGTGGCTGTGTGCGGGGAGAGTGTGTCACAGCCCGGTGACGGGGAGGCCCTGCCCTGTGGTGACGAGCTGGGAGGAGTTGGAGATGAACCCCAGAGAAATGACACGGGAAAAAGGTCTTGTCCCTGAGATGTGATGCGACAATTACAAGAGTGCCTCATAGGCTGTGAGTACCGTGCGGACGTAAGGGATGCTCCTAATGCTGATGACCAACAGCAGCACGGATTCAGAGGCTGTGGCCTAGAGGGACGCCACGCACACACAGAGCTCACGGGAAAGAACAGACGGCTGTGTCTGGGGTGTCAGCGAGGCTGCGATAGACCCTGGGAACTGCTGGTCCCTCACCAAGAGAAAGCTGGCCGGTGTCGGGCTCTGGCAAGGGGCACCGTTACTGTTACTGCTGCTGGGGATGGAACGAGCTGTCCTTGGGGCTCGGACGTACGGCTGCAGCTTGCTTTGAGCACAGCAGACCGCAGGGAGCTTGGTGACAGCACCTCCTGCGCACCTGACCGTGGTCACAGCCAGGCCCCATGCCGACACTGCATGAAAATGCCCACACATGTAGCAGATGCATGAGGCTGTCCGGGGATAACAGAAGACCACCACGTTGCAACCCGCATTATCAATGGATGCTACAAGCAAGAAAGGTATTAGGGAACACGGTAAGTCCCATGGTGCTGAAGGCCCTCCCCGTGGATGACCTCCCAATGTGCCCTGATGAGGGGAGGATCTGGTGATCACCCCAAGCAGTGACCAAACCCAGCATCGCTCAGAGAGGTACAGACTGGCACTGGCTTCCCAGTACGGCACCATATGGAACACTCGACATCCCCTGTGAAGGAATCCTGCCAAAAATGTTTGACTTGAAAGGATCTGATGAAGCCTGTAGACCTAGCTTCCAACATACAGAAAAAAAGAGGGACAGAGAAATGAGCTAACCCACAGGATGAGGACACAATCAGATAAATTCAGACTAAACCACAGTATTAGGAAACAATCAGATAAATTCAGGATATAGGACCATCCACAGGACAACTGGCCCAGCCTTTAAATCAGTCAATGTCATGGGGAAAAAAACAAAAAACAAAAAACTGTTCTTGACATAGACTGAAGAGAAATAACAGCCAAATGCAAATACCTTGACTGGATCCTGTTTGTTTGTTAAAAAAAAAAATTTTTTTTAACATTTACTTATTTTTGAGAGACAGAGAGAGACAGAGTGTGAATGTGGGGCTGGGGGGGGGGTGGGCAGAGAGAGAGGGAGACCCAGAAGCAGAAGCAGGCTCCAGGCTCTGAGCTGTCAGCACAGAGCCCGATGTGAGGCTCGAACCCACAAACCATGAGATCGTGACCTGAGGCGAAGTCTCAAACCCACGGACCGTGAGATCATGACTTGGGCTGCAGTCAGATGCTTAACCGACTGAGCCTCCCAGGCACCCGTTTTGTTTTGTTTTTTTTTAAAGCTACAAAAATAGTTTTGGGACAACTAGAGGAACTCTGACAAAACACAGTACTAGGGGCACCTGGGTGGCTCAGCCGGTTAAGTGACTGACTCTTGAAGTCGGCTCAGGGCATGATCTCATGGTTCATGGGTTTGAGCCCTGGGTCAGGCTCTGAGCTGACAGCATGGAGCCTGCTTGGAATTCTCTCTCTCTCCTTTTCTCTCTGGCCCTTCCCCATTTGTGCTCTCTCTCTCTCTCAAAATAAATAAACATTAAAAAAAGCCTGGGTTCTGGATCATAAAAAATCATCATTAATTTTTAACAGTGTTTACTGAGGTGATGAAGGGGAACATCCACGTTTAGGTGATTCATCCTGCCGTATTTGGGGCTAAGGACTATCACTTTTAAATGGTTCAACGAAACATCATACAAAGTTAGAATCATTTCCTGAGGAGGGCGTTCTGGTTTTCTATCACTTTTAAAGGAATGTGTACAAGGGTCTGGAATGACCAAGGCCGCTGCCCCCTTGTGGATGCTCAGTGTGGGCACACAGGAGGTGGGCCCAGGCAAACCAAAGGTGACGTGAATTGTGCGAACCCCATGTCTGTGAGCCTGGCCTGAGCAGGCAATCGAGGCTCGGTGTCTCCATGCACCGTCCCACACCCGGTTACACGGATTCCATCCCAAACACACAGCTCACGCTGCCGGTTGCACACACGACTGGATGTGTAAACTGGTCAGTCCAACAACCAAGGGTCACGTCTGGGGCCCCAGAGCCGGGTGACCAGCTTCTCGGGACACTCTTCTGGGAAACTGAGGCTCAGTGAGGTCAAGCAGTGTGCCCAGGGGCACAGGGCTACGGCGGCTCGACTGGCTCCTCCTCCTCGGCTGGCTCCCTGGGAAACGCCAGGAGCTCAGGTGAGGCCATCCACAGGGAAGAGCTTTGTGAGCTGCCCAGTGTGTGCACTGACCAAAAGCACAGCAGCTCAGATTTGGAGAGGGCTCCAGTGCAGGAGCCTTGGCAGGCTGGACCTGCTCACGCCAGCGAGACTCTGCCCTTTGTCTTGTGCAATGCCTCTGGAGCATTCTATGTCATTGGATTCCACAGTATGGAGGGGCAATGGTCCTGCTCTGGGGCAGAAGGAACCACGGAAAGAGCTGGAAACCCTTCCAGGCCATACCATCCACCCAGTCCCCATTACCCTCAGTGAGAATTCTGACACTTGAGATCATTTCGTGGCCTGCCTGGTACCAGCGGCCACGCAACCACTGCTCTGGGGTGGCAGGCACACCCCTCGCTCTGCCCCTGCCCTGGCCCAACTGCCCCTTGTTTCTTCATGGAAACCGTCTTCCACCCCCGCAGGTCCTAACTTCCCCTTCAGCTGTCTGTAGTTCAGCTGCCCCACACTGTCCTCCCTGCCTCCTGCTGCCTTGGGCTCCCGGATGCCACTGAAAGGGACCTGGAAGGCACCAAGTCCCAGCTGTGGGCTTCACGGCCCAGAGCTGCCAGTGGCCTCCAGGCTGCTTGCCAAGCCCACGCGTGGGGTGTAAACAGGAGCCCCTTCTTGCTTGTAATCACAAAGCACTCAGCTGATGGCTCCATTCCCCATGGGAATCCCATTTAAGGACTCCTGGGGCCCCAGGCTAAGCCCCAATTCTTCATCCAAAATAAGCAAATTCTCCTAGAGGTAAACACCTGTGATGCCTTATAAATCTGGAGACGACGAATTCAGGGCAAAACCCAAGTGATCTGGATCTGGCTGCGGAGAAGTGGCCGCATCTTGGCTGACGATGGAACCCTCAGGTCCTGCAGCCCTGGCTGTGGCTGCTGAGTGGGCCACAGTGTTGGGGGACACAGGTTGTGCGGCCAGTGCACTCCTGAGGTCACACGTGGGCTACTGTCCCCAGAGGACCGGCGTCTGTGGTGCTCTGACACGCAGTGGGGCTGGGCTGAGTTGCGCTGTGAGCAGTGGAAACCCCAGGGCTCAGGGGCTGTGGCAGCCATGGTGGTGGATGGAACAGGCTTTGACGTGCCACTGCAGGCTGTACGTAGCAGGCTGTCACGCTTCCCCCACGTCCCGGACACCTGCTACGTGCCAGGCACCGAGGATACGGCACAGGACAAACGTGGCAAAGTCCCTGCCCTCCCAGAGCTCCGACCAAGTGATGCACGTGCGTCACCCTTTGGAAGCTGGACTGGAGCTGATTGATACACAGCCCTCCAGGGTTTCCCAACACCCCCTGCCTCCGCTGCCTGTGTTCTGGTACCCCAGGCCGGCCTCCCGTCCGGCACGCACATTCCACCGCATGTTCAGATGCAGGTGTGCCCACGCGACCAGCCCGGTTAGCACCCTTCGGTGGCTTTCTTCTGGTGCCCCAGGGATCAAGTCAAAACCCCTTCCAGTCCTCCCTGAGGCCAAGGAACCGAGGCCCAGCCCTTGTCTGCAGTCTCATTTCCTGCCACCCCCACCCTAACCCGACCGCATAGCCAACTCAAAACCCTCTCCATGTCCCCCAAAATGCTATGCTCCCTCCTGCCTGAGCCCTTAGAAAATGCTACTCTCTCTGCATTGAACACTATTCCTTTCCCGCTTAGCTGAATGCCACCTCCTCTGGCCATTCTTTCC